AAGCAGCGGGCCCCCGCTAATATTAATGAAATTGGAATTTTAAAATTGCTATTTTAAATAATTGAAATACTAATTAATTATGCAATTCTGGCTTCTTGATTGAAAATATAGTAGATTTTAATATGTTTAATGAAAAAAGCAAAATATTTATTAATGTATATATATAATTTTATGTTTGTTAAATTATAAAAACATGAATTAATTTAAAATCAATTTATATATATATATATAAAGATTAAATAATATGTAAAACAAATTATAAGTTTTATAAATAATTAATAAAAAATAGATTTGTGTATAGATAAAATGAGAAAAGAATATGTATCTTCTTTATATGGGTATATGATAGGGGAATAGAAAAAAAGGAAAAATGTGGATACTAATTATCTTATTATTGATATTTGTTTGGCGTGGATATGGGGCGGTTACGACGTTTAACCCATTATTCTTATATAATATTTTCGTAAGGTTCGATATATACATTTTGCGGTAGGAGTAGTATTAGTTGGTCCAGTATCTTTTTCAGTAATCGTAATATTTTTGGTAGGGTTAAGAAATATTATTTTCATGAATTTAGGTATAGATTTTGTGGTATATACAACATTTTCGAGAGATTAAATATAAATTTCGTGTTAGCCAATGATTTGGCAAAACACAAATCCAATAATTTTCTTTAAAACAAAAAAACTATAAGATTATATAAATACAAGAATATTTAAAGCAAAACAAATAATAATAATAATAATAATAATAATATAATATGTATTTCCAAAAAATCAAATTTCAAAAACAAATAATCAATCAAATCAATTAAATCCCAATAAACAAAATAGAATAAAAAATAGGGTTTAGGACTTAAGATTTAGGATTTAAGCTTTAGGGTTTAGGGTTTAGGATTCAGGGTTTCGGGCTTAAAGATTAGGATTTAGGGTTTAGGATTTAGGGTTTAAGGTTTAGGGTTTAGAGTTTAGGATTTAGGGTTTAGGATTTAGGGATTCAGAGTTCAATTAAATCTAATAAATTTGGCAATAAATATTATGTATTAAACAAATTTGTTAATATATATATATATATTCTTTAAATTAAAGATAATATTCAAAAATTAATATATAATTCAATTAATAATTATGTATTTTTCAAATATTTATATATAGTAGTGGGGGCCCGCTACTTTCCAACAACGTGCGAGATGAAGCCCATGGCAGAGAATAATAGAATCAGAATATGAAGTAAAAATATCTTCCAATTTAACAAATATAAATAGATATATATTAATATATTCATAGATACAGAAATAGGACATTTTTTGGGAGGTTAGAAAAATAATTTATTTAGATATTCTATTATTTTTTTGGGTGAAATATTTTTGAGCGAAATTAGTTCAGTTTTATTTCTCCCAGAATATTTTCTAATCAATCATATTTTCGTACGTGTTACAATGATTATATATAAAGATAGATCTTTTGAAATTAATAATTCATTTGTTTAAGCGATCGTTTTTCATTAATTATATATTTATACATTAATATCGGGCACGAGACATATTGTTGCTTTATGAATCGTAATGTCTTAAGAAATATATCGAAATGTTGCTAAGAAATTCCATCTATAATTTGTCTTTAAATATTTGGGTTTCCAGAATTGGATTTCCAATTCAATGTAATACATAGTTTTTCGAAATGATTTATTTAGGCAGGATCCAAAGCAAAAGCTCAAAATCATGCCAATATGATTTCAATCAATCTAAAAAATTATATGTTCGAATTTCTTAAATTAAGCCGAACTCGGCCCATTTCACCATCGCGTTATTTTCCTAAATCTTATTATTTAAATATCCTTTTATAATATTCTTTTTTAAAATTAAACCAAAAAAAATCGAAAAGAAATATTTTCATTCCAATTTTTAAATGCATTATTATATGTATTTAAAAATATATTATTTGTTCCTATATAAATCTTTCATTCAAACCAAATCAATATAACATATCCGAAAATCAAAACCTTATTCTTAAATATTACGCATACCTAAACACAATATTCCAAGTTCCATCAAAATTATCCTAACTCTCTCAGTAACATAAAAAATAGGTTCTAAATTTCATAAATTCATATTAAATATTAATTTATATAATACCAATTTAAGACAAATAAACAAATCAATAAATAATCAAACAAACAAACAAACAAACAAACAAACAAACAAAAACACAAACAAAGACAAAAACAGAGACGGAGACAAACACGAATACAAAGACAAAAACAAACACAAACATAAACACACACGCACACACAGACACACAAACACACAGACACACACACAGACACACACACACAGACACACAAACGCACAGACAAAGACAGACAGAAGACAGAAGACAGAGACACAAACACAAACACAGACACAAAAACAGACACAGACACACACACAAACACAGACACAAACACGACAGACACAGACACAAACACGACAGACACAGACAGACACAGACAGACACAGACACGACAGACACAGACAGACAGACAGACAGACAGACGACAGACAGACACAGACAGACACACACAGCACAGACAGACAGACACAGACAGACAGACAGACAAAGAAACAGATACCAGAGACAGAGAGACCACCGAATTCTGATGTCGACATGCCACAGGCTTCGCCTGCGCACGTGCACGCGACCGACTCCGAGCCCGAGCCGTGATGCAGACGGGCTACAAGAACGCGCGTGCGATCTCTCGGCTGCGCGTGCCCCAGTTGCACGCGGCCGCTGGCCGCTTGTCCCCTGGCGCCGTCGCCCAGTGGAGCGAGCCAGTGGGAAACGGTTTGTCACGGGCTTGTCTCGGCGCTGCCCCGCCGCTCTCCTTACCCTCCACGACGGCTGTGCTCTGGCCCGCGGCCAGGAGGTGGTTGCAAGTGTTCGGCGGCCCTCTTTGGACTGGACACCCCGGGTTGCTACCGGCCCGGTTTGGATTGGTAGTTTGGATCGGTGTTTTGGAGGTTAGGGGGTGGTTTCCAATCCAAACCAGCAATTAAAGTTGAGGCGGGTGCCAAAAAAGGGCCGAGCTTTTAGGGGCCAAAGTCCAGGCCGTGGAGGGTGTGCCAAGAACAGAGCAAATCTTATAGAGCCCGCGCCGGCAAGACATTTTTTGCAACTCAGGCACCAACATATTTTATCATCTCATATGTATCAAAAAATGTATACTCGTCGTATGCGAAAAGCATGCTGCCGTTCTTCAAACACAGGTCGCGAGACGCACTGAGGGCCGGGCTGGTCGCGATAAGGTCACGCCAAAGAGTCAGTGAAAGGCGGTCGCCTGAGCAAGGTGAGAACGGCTCCGCGGGCTGTTGGCCTCAAAAGATCCATCCACACACGCACTTGTTGCGCAAGTGCAAGCGAAAACGCGATCGACCAGAAAACATCCTGGGTGCAAGCAAAGCCGAACTGATTTCCTCCAAAGCATTGGGAAAACACCACTGGTCGCAACAATTGGCCGCGGCTCACAGCTTCTCGCATCGCCAAACTCTCGGAAGATGGGCCAAGATTTCAGCCAAAATTGCTACGGAAAGACAGATATATGCCCGGACTCTTTATCTGGAAGACACAACGGCTTTGTTCAAAGCCCGGACCATTTTTCCGAAATATCCCGGATATTTCGATAGTCGCACTCCAGACCATTCTTCCGAAATATTCCAGATATTTCGACGATAGCATTTCCCGAAATATGTGGAATATTTCGGGAAAATGGTCCCCGAAATATTCGGAATATTTCGAGAAAATGGTGGGTGGCTACGATTCCCGTGCCGCTTTCCCGAAATATCTGGAATATTTCGGGAAATTGGTCCCTACAAAAAATGAAGCCACTATGTCTTCCGCACATATGCCGGGGTAGCCCGGACAGATTTGGGCAAGCGATCCGTAGGAAATATGAAGCGGTTACATCTTCCAGGGGCAGTCCAGACCAATTTTCCGAAATATCCGGGATTTTTCGGAAAAGCGGTCCGGGAAAACGCGCGCAAGTGCGAAGAGCAAGTTTCACGGTTTCGTTTTATAGAGTATATATATATATATTATTATCCAACCTAAATTATATTTTTAATAATCTATATGTTATATATAATATATAATTGAATTATATTCTAATTATATATTATAATATATATATATATATATATATTATTATGTATTTAATATATTTTTATTATTATTAAATATATAGTTGTTCCCAATAAAAGTGTTTATTTTAATAATTAAATATTCTCGATAAATTATATCTTTAATTCGGTAATTATATTAGGATAGAAACATAGTAATTAAAATTCTGAATATCTTTTTTGCATGCATTCAAGCGTATTGTTCAAGACCTTTCCGCCTTGTGGATCCCAGTGCAGAGTCTGCCATCAACAGGTTGGCATCAACCAAGTTCGGAAGTAAAATCCGGGAGTGAGGCTTTGTCCATGCCTTGGGTTTCCGAAGCTGTAGGCTGGACCAGGGCCTCTCAGCCGCAAGAATCGCCGCGCCGGTTGCTCAGTTTTCCTGCTCAGGGGGCCCGGCGGGTCTCCCGACAACCGACGGCACTCTCAGATACCAGCTGAAATGAAAAGACTGCATCCAGTTTGGAGTTTGGCCTCCTTGGACTTGAGCAAGACCAAGGGGCCCACGAAAAGTACCACCTCTGTGCGTGGCTTCTTTGGTCCCTCCATGAGCGGAGTCTCTATGCCGCTCGAGGGCCTGCAAAAGAAGCAGAGAAGCCTTTTGGGCAAAGAGGAGAAGCAACAATGACATGCACAATGGCTTTTGATGTAAATCTGTGGGTCCAGCGCCAGGCACAACTGAAATGCGCCAAGGGCACTGTTTCCCTCAAAATTACGTATGAGAGATTATTAGCCGAAGCTGAAAACGTCTAGAACTGCTTAAAAGCCACATGTGTGCCTTTTGGGTGTCGCTCAACATTTCAGAGCCAGGTTGTGGTCTACTTTCCCATTTGGCAGGGTTCCGTTTTGGGCCCCTATGTGTTCAGCCACACCCTTTTGATGCTAGAGTCCACTGCAACTCGAATAGCTGATGCGCTGACCAACAGGCCAATGGCGTGCATCATCGCACAGTCTGCGCACAGTGTTTCTGCACTGAAAACGAGCTGACTGCCCGTCTTCGTCGGCAGAGCGAACAACTTCAAACAGAAACAGCGGACCTACTCTGTGCAAAAGTTCCAGTGGCAGGACTCACAGCATCAATCAAATAAAAAGGCAAGGCAGGAGGCTGCTAAATAAAGTTGAGCAGGCGCATCTGCCCTGGAAGTCCATGTCGGCGATGAAAAGATTGGATGCCTTTCCCAAGCCATCGAGCTTAACCAAGTGGGCCGGACCTGTTCTTGGACTCCCAGAAATGCCAGACAACGGCAGGAACGGCATGGGAACACTCACGAGATGTGGCCCTGGTTACTGCCATGCCTGCCTGCGCTTCTGTCTGCGCTTCTCCCTTTGGTGCTGATGCTTGAGCCATTTTTGCCCTGCCATGGACTCCTGGCCGATGCAACGGTCCGGGCCGTAGAAACAGAAGGGTCCGCGGTGCCGTCCTTGGTGAAATGACTAAATGCAGTGATCTGGTTCTCGCCAGCCTTCCCAAAGAGTAAAGAATTCAGCGCCAGCTTCCAGCAAATTGAAACAAAATGATCAGCTGTATTCCAAGTGACACTGCTCTGCACTTACTCACCTGCCCAAAAGTCCCTGAAATAAATGGCTTCCCAGCAAATTGACGTGGAACAGGATCCATAATTCCCGAAACCAATGATGGGTCCAACGGACCGAACCCAGGTTGAAGTGGGAACCGGCCGTGTCGCAACCCTTAAAGTGTGAGGTGACATGCAACGGGACAAAGGGGGAACACATCGCAAACCTTTGAACAACAAAACCCAGCGCCAGTTCCGGGGTCTCTTGGCATCAGCTTTCAGATCAAACATGTGCCGCGCCCATCCCACCCCCGTCCTCTGCTGTACATTCATGGCAGAAGGCGCAAGCTTCGCCCTGCCGGCAGCCATCCTAGAGCTCGGGCTGTACCCTTCCTGTGAGTTGAGTCGGGTTTCAAGCAATCGCCAGCATCCACCCGTGAACCCCTTGCAGAGAGGCTGACAATTCTTCACGCAGAATTGAATCGCTCAGTACGCTGCCAGCGGAGCATTGAGAATTTGGCGAAAACACCAGAGAGCTGCATGAGTCTACAAGCAGAAATGCACTCCCGACTCTTCCAGAGACCGCCCGTCCTTGCGAAAGCGGAAGTAGCGGCATGGCATGCACTTTCCTGGCGCTCAGCGAAGCGCGGGCTAGTGAGAGACCGGCGATTCCAACTCCAAGGTACCGTTTGGATATACATATCAATTTATAGAGATTCCTGTGGAGGTTGTTGGGTATGCTCAGAAGGTATGCAGAACTCTTGGACATGACTAGAGTTCTGAACACTGAGCTTGCTAGCCCAAGCAACCCCCGCCGCAAAACAAGGAGTTGACGCTACTGCGATGCAGCAAAACGCAACTCAAAACAAAAGATAGGACAAGGAACTGCACACAGTAATGTGTGTGTGTGACCTCCGTTTCTAGGAGATGTTGAGGTGACCAACTACATCGGACCATGGATGTGCAGGTAAGTAGGGGACAAGCTGGTGAAACTCCAGTGTACCATGTGTTGCCATAGATCCTTCGTAGATAGCTTGAAACATGATCAAAAAAAAATTGCCCTTGAGCCTGCGCAAGGAATCACATTGCAGGCCATCGACGGCGAAATGTGAAGAATGGCCGGAAAACACCTGAATGTAGTCAAACTGATTCGTCTCGTGATTCTGTGATGTTTCATTTCTGCCTCTGCCGTCGGGTGCCAGCCCGACACAAGTTTTCGTTTTCATGTTTGTGTTTCAGGGTTCCCCAGGCAAAGACCGAAACTAGAGAGAAAGCAGGCAACGGGGAAGGCAAGCCACACAACGACCCGAAAACAGCTAAACACAAAGCTAAGGCTTGAACGCCCAAAAATCACGGGCAGTGCTTGCTGAAGCTAACACATGATCGCTAAAATTGGACCAACAGGTGCAAACTCAACCTGTTCAGAATTGTAGCGGGCACCTCTTTAAAGATGGACCAAAGCGTGTCCCTAAGCAAGAAGGTTTGTGGCAGGACCATTTCTTTCTCTGTGAAACAATTGGGCATGTCACGTCTCACACATATCTATGGGTGCGGATTTATTTGGGAATTGGTTTCGTTCTATGTTGGGATTATTATATTTTTTTGCGTTTTTCGTCCGGGCCAGTAAAATGTCGTATTTTGGAGCTTTCTTGCAAAATTGACGTATTTTACACTTCCGACCAACATCCCTAGCATCACCAACAAATCGCAGGTATCAAAATCTAAAAAGTAGCTGGCGGGTTGACGGGGTCGAAGAAATGAAGATTCAAATAGGAGAGCATTTCACTGGCTGCAAAGCAAATCCAAAAAGTAGCAGGGGGGTTGGAGCCCCTCATGATGTTCGCAGAAGTGATGATTCGAACAGGGGTAATTAAATCTCTGCAAAAAATCTAAAAGCAGCGGGGGGTTGGGGGGGGCGGCAGCCCCCCCATGATGCTCGAGGAAGTGATGATTCAACTAGGGGTGCAATTAAATCTCTGTAGAAAATCTGAAAAGTAGCGGGGGGGTTGGCAAATAGGGTGCAATGATTCAAGAAAGGGTGCGATAGAATATAAAAAGCAGCGAGAGGGTTGGCGGGGGTGGCTTCCCCTAGATTTCGAAGAAGTGCATACATACAACCATACATAGATTACATAGATTACATAGATTGCATAGATTGCATAAAATGTCGTATTTTACAGCATTTTCTCGCAAAGTTGGATGCTCGAAAAAGTGATGAACCAAATGGGGGTGCAATTAAATCGCGGCAAGAAATCTACAAAGCAGCGGGGCTTGGGCGGGAGGCGGCAGCCCCCCATGATGTTTGAAGAAGTGATGATTCAAATAGGGAGGGACTGGTAATGCTGAGGATGCGGGAAGCCAAAGCCAAAAACCAATGAACCGGAGAGGAATGCAAAAAGCCAAAGCCACCAAAAGCCGCATAAACCAGCGAAAAGCTGCTGGTTTGAACTGGGAATGCAGAGGATGCGAAAAGCCAAAGCCAAAAAGCCGCGTGAACCAACAAGAAGCCAAAAAAGCAAAAAAGCCAGAAGCCAAGAAGCCGAAAAGCCAAGAAGCAGAAAAGCCAAGAAGCCACAAAAGAAAAAGAAACTCCATTATCTATTTCAACTAAAACCAGTTCCCCTCGGTGGGCAAAACCGACCTGCCTTGCTTGTGCAACTGGGTCATGGGAGTCCTGAGTACAAAGGGGCGCTTCAAAACCAAAAGGCACCAACCTAATCACTGGATGAGAGCCGGATCATTTGAGCCATCTCCTACACAAAGCTAAAGACAGGGTAAAAGCTGGAATGCTTTCTCATCGCGTACATGCGGCAAATTCAGAGTACTGGGAATGCTTCATTGTGACGTCAGGGGTCAAAAGTCTGCGCATCACCCGGTTGAGGCGACGGCCCAACAGCACGTCAAAGCGAGCCCAAAACAAATCGCTACAGGCTGAGCATCAAATGCCTGGGGCCCCTGCCTGTCCATGTCCTTGGAACCTGCGCGGGATGGAAAACTAATTAATGCACAATAATGGCTTCAAAGACGAACATCAAAAGTTGTTCACTGCTAGCAGACCTTTTCGCGGCCCACAAATGTGAGTGTGCGATGTATGCAGACCTGCCCACGCACGACGTCTCACGCCAACGCACATGCCTGGCACGTGAAAAGCAAACCTGCCCAGGCACTACGTCCTACGCGTACGCACATGCTTGGCACACTCCCACACTCCTGCGTGCGTGCCTGGCACTAAGCACATCCGCCTGCTAATTGAATGCGTTTTGCGGCATGCACGAACCGGGGACTTCGCAAGCTGCGCTGTGCCTATGCTCAACCAAAGACGGGAAAAGTTTGCAAAAAACAAACGGATTGCGCCCATGACAACATGCTGGCGAAGAGCATGCTTCACCACCTGAGCTCAAGCGCGCTCTGTCGCACACCCGTGAACCTACTTGGCACATGATAAACACACTCGTACTCATTTGCATGCCTGCGCACCTGGTTGGCACATCAGATGCACACCCGCCCACGCACTCCGGCGCATGCCTGCGCACATGCCTGGCACGTGATAAGCACACCCGCCCACGCACTCCGTCGCATGCCTGCGCACATGCCTGGGCACATGCCTGGCACGTGATAAGCACACCCGCCCACGCACTCCGTCGATTGCCTGCGCACATGCCTGGCGGACTGTGGGAGGCAACAAATAAGCATCTGCTCCCACTTCCAAGTACATAGGCCGCTGCAGCCGTCGGTGAAAGATCTGGCGGGTGGTTGCACTAAACATCCAACCAATGAGAAAACAGGCCTGCAAAGCTGTAAACATGGACGTGTCCCATCGCTGCTCCAATCCAAAAGTAAATCAAGACACTCCGCACTCTGGAGAGACGTGGTTCAACATTGAACAACGATGCTTCCTTTTGCCACGGACAGTCCTTTCAACGGGTCACCTGCTTCCCTACAAGCTATGTGCACAGTCATGCGTGCGGACAGCGCCGGCGGACTCGGACTCCTTTACTAACCTTTTGACTATGGATCAGTTTTCGTGCCAAGACAGGCTGAAGTATGACTCAACAAATTGGCATATGCTTGCGTCGCAAGCATATTCACTCACAAGCAAACGAGTCGTGGAAGAAGCATGGCTGGTCCAGAAATGTGCAACCCTTTCGAGAAGGATGCAATTCGAAGGGGTCACCCCGAAACCAACCACACCCGGTCCGTCCGCGCCCATAGCCACACAGAGTAAACCACATCCCGCCTTCTTTGCTGCAGGAGTCATCTATGTTTGCTTCCTGCGCGCATTGGTTGGAATTGCACTTCCTGTATTCACCTGGCCCCAAACTGGTGGATTGAGTTGGTTCGGAGGCGAGAGCTTCAAACCATGGACCACCAACTAAACCCCTGAACTCGTGGAATGGCCGAAAAGCCGGCAGGCCGGGCTCCTGCTGACTCCGCGAAGGCTTTGTCCTTTTCTCCTGGACCGCAGGCTCGTGAAGACATCTCGGGCAATGGTCCAAACAAAATTCAGCAATGGCACGATCAGTTCAGAACTGGTCCCAGAACTGTCACAGTAGGAGATCTTTCCTCTCGATGATTCCCATGGATCAAAAACATGGAATCCGGGCAATTTTTCCTCAACACAATCCCCTCAAACGTGGCATCTGTCCTACTAAACCTTTAAGCCTGGCTGTGCCCAAAATTTCCCGAATTCAGGAGAAGTAATCGATACAATATGTTGATCTGAGGATAAATCGATGCATCGCCATTGCAGAGTCCTTGGAAAGCGTAAATCAAAATGGAAAAGATGCATTCGAAACAAGGACCAGTATGTAGCTGCAAACCATAACCCTGGCGTCCAAAGCCGTGTCTACACCCTCGAATGGTCCTATTGGCCACGCGCTTGTGTGTTCTGTGCTCGCTCCTAAACTGATGCCACATACGTGAATCAAAGTAAAGTCGTGCCAATGGACATCTAGATCAAGGTGTACCCGGCATCGGGAATAGCCAAGTGTCCAGGGGTCTCTAGTAGAACAAGTGTTGAACTATAAACAGTCAGACCAGAAGCATATGGCGAGGAATACCACTGAGAATCGTGGGTGACGTTTGATGTATTGAATGAGTGCACGAAAAGGATACCACAGAGGTAATTGTGGGTGGCTTTGAGGCAATGAATGAAATTACAGAAGGAATCACAGTGAGAGGATTGTGGCTGATTGTGATATATACAATGAAAGCACACAGGAAACAACAGTGAGACAATTGTGGATGACTGTGTCGTATTGAATCATACCACAAAGAGAGTAAGAGGGAGAAAGCTGTTGTGGGTGACTGTGATGTATCTAAGCTATCTAAGTGGAAGCAAAATAGATTCCCAGTGAGGTACTCTTGGGCTCACTGCGATGTATAGAATGAAAGCACCAGGGGGAACGCCAAGGAGATAATCTTGGATGACTGTGATGTAGCGAAAGCAACAAGGGGATGCCGGTGTTGGGTAACTTCAGGGCGCTTCGCATGTTACTGTCTTGCTAGGGATTTTGATGAACACTAGCACTGTGGATACATGTGTGCAACAGAATGTACATGCATTTTCTGGAACCAACTGTTTGTGTCCTTCATTGGAAACTTTGTGCAAGCTCGGCGTGTCCAAGTAGAAAGAGAATTGGTAATTGTGACCTACCACCACCTCTCATCAGCTGCATCACTTTGCGCATCCAACCAGAAAAGGTGCCCATGGTACCCGCAAAAAACAAACACTCCTCCGGAGGATGGTTGCAAACTTTCCTCTTCGGCTGCTCATCGTCAAGGCATGCCATGGCCTGCATGCTCGGATTGCCAATTTTCTGGATCGGATCCCATCGTCTCCAAAAACCGCGCAGAAAGTGCCTCCGGTTTTGTTCTGCCACTATTCGCACAAAACCTCGGGAGCAAAGCGAGCCTTCAGCATGGCTCACAAAGCAAGTCTCACAAGGCTCAAGCCTTCCCACACGCTCTCGCAAGATAAAAAGTGTCGCTAGCTGCAGCTTGGCCATCAGCAAATTTGCAGTGGAAGTTGGGACTCGCCAAAGTCCTTTTAAGGAAGTTCCATCTCAGAAAAACCTGGCCATGGTCCCTTGAGGCTCACAAGTGGCTAGCACCTTACATCCGTCCCGTCTCTGGCGTGAAATACCCGTTGTCTGCTCCCATCAGAACGTGGCATTCACCACAAGGATGCCAACATATGCCAACCACGTAGTTCAAGCCCACATCAACAAGAAGGGTATGGCTCGGGAGCGTGGCAGTTACATGTCTCTGCTCTTGCAATGAGCCTTGAGAGTGAAGGCAATCGCATCGGTGTTGCTATCCGCGTCGTCGTCCGACACCTCGCCGAAAAAGAAAAGGGGCAGGATAGACATCGCTGGCGTCACATAGTTAAACAAACAAGTTTCAAAAAAGCAACTAGCAAGAAAACGGCTTGACATGACAATCAAAGCCAAGATGCAATGAGAGCAAAACTCTAAGTTGTAAGCAAATTAGATTCCCTTGGAAAACAAGCAAAATATTCCGAGTTCGGGCAATGTCACATCAGAGAGACACAAACTACCGCTTGGGTCACATCCACGGCAAACCTTCTAGCAACTCTAACAAGCCAACCCAGAAACCAGGATCAATCTCATCAACACACTCTTTGCTTTTTCAAGCTGAAATTTCCCGCACCTCATCTTCATCCTCAGACAGGGCCATCAGTTCGAAAACTAGCACCTCAGTCGAATCTGGGCGGCTACTGCCCCAGCAAATTGGGTAGTGCGAAACGTACATGCACACACACACACACACACACACACACACACACACACACACACACACACACACACACACACACACACACACACACACACACACACACACACACACACACACACACACACACACACACACACACACACACACACACACACACACACACACACACACACACACACACACACACACACACACACACACACACACACACACACACACACCAACACCACACAGAGACACAGACACAATAACACACACCCCACACACACACACACACACAAGCCCACACACGCATTGTCCCGAAAACCAAATTCCCCGAATAAGACATTGGTTTAGCTCCAAAGGAACAGCAGCTTTGAAAATCGCACTTTTGCAAGAAATCAACGTACTGCTGAACATCGGTGGAGCAATCCCATGCGGGCGCCGAAAATGCCACGAATCTATTTGAGGTTATGGCTCCACAAAGCAATCTGCAAGCATCGTATGAGAAAATGCCAAAATTCAAGGTTCCAACAACCAGCCCGCCAGCACAGCGGAACTACTTTTCGCCTTCTCACATGAAACGAGCGGACAACTCCAGTGCATAGGTTGCTTTTCACACTCTAGGTATGTTGCAGGCTTTGTCAATGCCTTTCTTGAATCAAACAAGCGCTTCCAACATGTAAAATACCAGGTTTGATCACGGACTCGAATCCACTGTGCCCAGCCTCTTTCTCTGATTCCTGAAAAATCCAGTGCTTGCACACTGGGCTCGTCATTGGACCTACTGACCTGCGCAAGTACGAGGCAAGTGCAGAAATGAGCACAAAGGGCTGAACAATTGTCTGGAAAAATATGTGGGAAAATATCATGGAAAATATCAATGCTCGTGCAAACAATCGGCAACTTCTTGTGTGCCTTCTAAATGAAGTGCCTACTCCTCCCAAGCGAACCACCACGCGCAACTTGTTAAGCGAGCTCCCGCGCCTGCTTGCCCAGTGCGCGATTGATATCCCGCCCTAGATTGACAGTAAGAACTTGCGTCATGCAGCTCAAGCATGAAGCACATGCAAAGGCAAGCAAACAAAATTCGAACATGACCTGCCCCATGCTACCTGACACTTTTGATGTCTGAGCAGCACAAAACCAGGCCCTACAAGTAGCAACCTAATAACAAAAAGTGAACCGCTTGGTGACTTTACCAAAAAAAAAAAAGGCAAGCACGCGAATGCCGCAAAATTTGTGCAAAGTGCCCTTGCAATTTGCCACCAAAGGCCTTGCTCGTGCAAATTGAGTCTTGCAGATTCGGTTTCGATTGGTGGGGATAAGTTTGGGAATCTAGCTGGCCACAACAACATGTCCATGCTTACGTGGGAACTCAAACGTCGTGGAATCATCGCAAGAAAATAGAACACCTTCACCGTTTTTTATTAGGACTGGAAAAGGCATTAAGGAAATAGGTAGAATCAGCAAGAAGGCAAAAAGAAGCCGGACGGACCAGGCGGACCGGACGGACCGGGTGGACCGGACGGACTGCACGAACAGGGCGGACCGGACAGACTGGGTGGGCCGGACGGGTGGACTGGACCCAACGAACGAACCGGACGGACCGGACAGACCGGGCAGACTGGACCGAGCGGGCGCACTTGTTGGGCTGCTGGGCTGCTGTTGGACTGTTGGGCTGTTGGGCTGTTGGGTGGTTCTTCTTGGGTTATTGGGCTACTGGGTTATTATCCCCGTGGCCACAGCTTCGGGGGGGGGGGGGTGATTTGAGGAACAGAATCGCCAAATACGAGGGGGGCTGGTGCACAGCAGCGACATCGGCGGCTGTAAGACAGTACGATAGGGATCAACGACAGAGAGATGAGAACGGGCGAAAGCACCGGTGTAATGCCAGCTGGCCCGGTGTCAGCAGTCGCTCTCAGCGTCCAGACGCCATTTTGAGCGACGTGTAAAGGAGGGAGGGATTGCTGGCGCAAAACCTAGCACGGCAAGCGGGTGCGGTGGGGCAGGCACAGCGCTGTGCATACAATTTGAGCAAGGGACAAAGGCTCAGAGGAAAGGAAGTAAGTTTTGGACTTGCAGAAACAGTTCTCCACAAGGAACAGTATTGGGGGCGGCCTTCGAGGAAACCCGCGATCTCGACAGCAGGCACCCCAGAAGTGCGTGCAGCTGTGCAACACAACAAAACCCACCGTAACAACGCGGGCACTTGAGTGGCCCTTGGTAAGATTGTCATCCATGTAGCCAACCGTGAGGGCAGTTCGTGGGAGCGCATTGAGCGCAACGTGAACAGGATCCCAGCGCGCCCCACTTTTGAAACCGGAAAACGGTCTGAAACCAGGACTGCCTTCTCACACTAAACTAGCCGAAATTCGAAGGGTCAAGAGTCTCGCGCGCGCTTGTAGCGGGACTATGACTACCAGGCACTAACACCTTGCGCCGCAAGAACACGGAGTAACATGCGCTTAAGGCATAAGCTGCCTCAAACACACGCGGAGCTCGCGAAGTTCTCCCTCGCTATTTAATGTCTAGCACGCACTCGCAGCAGATCTCTAACTACGTGGCCTTCCACTGACTCGCACTACAAAAACACGCCACAGAATGCGCTCAGCTTTAAGCTGCGTCGGTCACACGGCCCGGAGAGGCGGTTTTTTTTCCCTTTTTTTTCTGCCGGCCTTTGCGCAATGTATCGCGCTGTCTGAAACAAGTGCCACGGGCAACACGACATTGCGCGGTAAGCGCGGCGCCGGCTTCGCCGACCCTCGTTGAGACCGGCCACTGCGGGCCCCGCGTGTCAGCGCCCTTCCACGCATAGTAATCCCGCTCCGCTTCTCCGAGCGCCGAGGGTGACGGCATGCGGCAGTCGACTTGGAAACACGCACGTGCGTTGTTGCTTCTCAGGTCACGTCCCGTCATAGCAATGGGCCAAAGTCTTCAGCGGCTTCAGTGCAGACCAACGCATACGCGACGTGTGCCCTAAACACCCGCCGAACAAAACATGTGCCTTTCCTTGCGTCTCGCACCCGTCAACTGCTGAAGCCCGTCTGGCACACTTGCATCACCATGTCTCGGCAGAATCATTTTAAATCGAGGCGGGGTCCCCTTAACCCCAGGACTACTTGGTGCACCCTACAGCCACACACCCATTTGTACCCAATTGCATCCTAGCCACCACTGAGACGCCAAGGGGTCTTTGTCTTGGGTTCTAAACCTTTAGGCCTTTTTCAGACCTTTGTTTAAGCTCTCCTGTCTGCAAAATAAACTACGTGCAAACGTGGTTAAAGGGCCACAATTTTAAACAAAATCACTCGAAGCATGGCTCGTAGACTGTCTCCTAAAACCTCGACGATTCTCATAAACAAGTTGCCCACAGCTGTCTGCTCTCCAGGCGCGTTGCTAGCAGTTAAATATGAGGAAAATTGTTTGCGGGGTATGCTGCCATGAGCAGCATGCCAAGCAAACTACACCTCCTAGCTCATCTGCCAGCCTTCAAGTTACTCACAAACGAGCTAGTAAATGCAAAACAACTGTGCTATCCTTGCAGTACAAAGGCGCCAAAGCTTTCTAAACAGCAGCTTCAGATTCGTAGACGAGTTGACAGTAGACGTGGAGTTGGGAGGTTGACAAATATGGGTGTCTTAGAGCTCATTCTGCCAGAAGCAGAAATCCACCAGAGCATGGAGAGCCAAGAGGTTTCACTAACGGGAAACCGGCGTTGGGCGCGGGAGTCCCTTAGAAAGATAGAAAGGCTTTGAAAACGATCCCCACATACCACTCTAGAAGCCCTCTGCAGATGTCCGGGGTCCCGCACAAAGATAGGAAACAAATCGGCCGCCTATAGTACGTGAGCGGCCGAAACTTGTCGATCTTTTGTGCGGGAGCGTTTCTGTCTCTTCTCGTGCACTCGGGTGAGCAGCAGTTCGGGGCATGCAGTTGAGGTCGTAGCATCTTAGGCAAAGCACATGTACAAAACACAACCAGAACGTGGCTGGACACACCACCAGCAAATCTGTAGAAGAACCGCTACTTCAAAATTAGCAATACACGTTAGAATCTTGATCACTGCTTCAAGCCGTACGGGAACATGCATAAAAAAAAACAGAAGAGTACGACCGACAAAAGGCGCGCTACGCTTTTTTTCTTTATGAGGCGTTGCTTGGAAGTCAACTTTTTTTTTCCCTGAAATCGCCTACAGCATGATCGCCGGTCGATATAAAGGAATCTGGGCAAGGAGAAGTGCTTCTTGGAAGCGGTGTAAAATAATAAATTCGAAACATGCAAGGCCATGCACAAAGCCAGGGTACACATCACCGAGGTGAGCTCCCACATGCTAAAAAGGCGACAAAGAAAATGACGACCCAAGGGTCATTTCCAAAACCAGTACAAGCAAAAGAGGGGGGGGTGAGACTGGGACCGGGTGCCAGAGGCACCAGTCCAGGTTGACTGCAAAATCGAGAGCCGGAGCAACTGTACCGCGCTCAAAGGCCTGTGAAACCTAGGCCCTACGCCTGAAGACATCGCAAATGTCGAACACCAGGCTGCCTTTCTCGCAAGCCAAATCGTCTGGTGGTCGAAGCTCCAAGTCAGTGTAAGGCCAGCATCCCGGTTTGGGAATGGGATCCCTGTGCATAGCAAAGTAAGGCATCGTCCGGCAGGTCTACCGGGAACTGCCACACCATCACAGCACGGCTGTTGCATACGCAGAACGAAAATCGCCACTGTTCGTTTGGCAATAAAGTCCGGAAGGCCACAAGTCACCAAGTAGCCGCCGCGTAGTTCTCCCCAGGAGTGCTACACCGCGCGAGAAAAAGTAGTTCGCCACAACAAGAATGATCCAGAAAGGAAAGGGGGGGGGTAATCCAAGTTCAGCAGGGGAAAACAAAATTAGCGCCACAGCAAAGAATGCGAAGTGTGTAACCAACATAAGTCCAGTGAGGTACAATAGCTGTCGTCATGTACCTTTTAGAAGACCGACCTAGAGCGCTCACCGACGTCTTGACTCAAGACATTCTGCCCCGTCAACACTCACTTTTGGGGGTCCGCCAAAAGTAGATTCAGCATATCTAGGGGTCGTTATGTTGCAGCCACACGCCTGCACGCAGCATTTTAGATTTCGAATCCTTCGCAGGACGAGGTCGTTTCCTGGACGGACGAGTGTCAGGAGCCGGTGGAATAGAATTCATTTGGAAAACCCCCTCTAAAGAGAGAGGTTGCCTGCATCGAAGCCTCCTGCTCGGCATCAAAGCCACCTGCCGCGCCACCTGCCCGGCCTCAAAGCCTCCACCCTGCCGCGCCACCTGCCCGGCAGCGAAGCCTCCACCCCCAAGCCCGCGCCACCCAAGGTCGGAATTCTTCCAATGTAAGTCCGCTTTTTGCCAATGGCTGCAAGGCGGAATTTCGACTTTGCTCTCCACCAAGGTTGGAATTCCGACATTGCTCTTCCACCAAGGTCGGAATTCCGACTTCGCTCTCCACCAAGGTCGGAATTCCAACTTTGCTCTCGGTCAAGGCGAATTTTCTGTAATTTGTCCCAAAATTTTCAAGCGTCGTGCGTTGGCCACGGTGTCTTGCTGACCAGCACGAAGGAGACGCCTGTGAGGGTACGTTTGACGTACCAACCCCGACTCACTGGACTAAGGTGTCGAAAACAGATGTAAACATGTTTGAACGGCATTCCGGAGGTTCTGGACAACGGAGAGGTAAGGCACGCACGTCACCGCAGGGCAGCTGGCTCTCACGCCTACGCACAAGTGACAGACCTGGCAGTAAACACGGCAGCCTCCGGCATTTAGTTCCTGGACGACCGGATCACCGCAGAGCTGGCCTCAAAGCTGGACAGGCCACCCACGGTGTTCGCATGTTGGCGGATTGGACCGGGTGGCATTGCAGGGGGCTATTCGTAGCGGGGGTCGTCAGAACTTGCGTGGCACTCCTGCCATCGGATTTTGTTTCATTGACCACCCATGACAATGACTCGTACGACTCCTTGTCAAAACCTGGTCTGGCTTGTCCAAAGACATCGGAATGATAAGGAAGCG